GAGAAGCGGAAATTGTACCTTTCAGTATCATGACTCAAACCTTAGCAACAGGCGGGGCATGGCCAAAGAGGAGTCTGAACTTGAAGAGGTAGCAACTAAAATTCTTCAGTGTCAAATACAAAAGGAAAAAAAAAGCACATCTATGAACCAGACAACGCTGGAGGATACATACACCGTTGGGATACAGGAATTGTTGGGTCTGGGAATTGCCATGCAAACCACCCAGACACTAATCTCAGTCAAATAGGGATGGTTTATTGAACATCACATTCCAAAGACTGATCTATTAGGGAGATGATTCAGGCTCAGGAGCTGAACCATGACCTTGAGTTACGAACCTACAGGATTTTTGTAGGACCCCAAAGGGCTGCTATGCCCTGGCTGAGACTTTCTGTGTGCTGCTGTCTACTAAGTAACATTCTGCGGTCCCTCTAAGATCAAAAACATCCTGACTAAGGCATGGTACCCCAGGAAGGGAATTTACACTTGACATCCAGTTGTTCCCCCACCCCCACCCCAGTTGAGTTCCTGTTTTTTCCTGAGTTTGTAATTTTCCTTCCCTGGCTTGGTGTATATATTGAACCTGCTCAGTAAAAGCTTTGGCATTCTGTCATAAGGGATGACCCGAGTCTGAGTCTTTCTTTAATCCCCCAGGCCTAAACCCGAGCTCAGTACTGCGGGCAGCACCGGAGCTGTCAGAATTTTAAGTCTTAAAATCTATATACATCTGTGCCAAGTTATTCTACCAATTAGGAGTTAGGGATAGGGGATTCCATTAGGACCAGGTCTTTGATGTTCCTTTATCCCATTCTCGTTGGTTGTGGTATTCAACTGTGGCAGGGGACTTGCCTTGTCTAACATTTATGCCTTGTCTACCAGGATGAGACTTACCTTGTCTAACATTAATATCTTATCTTGCCAATCAGGATGTTAGTTACCCATGTACATGTCTCTCTTTGCCAAGCAGGATGTCAGTTCCCGGAAAGGTCTTAGGAACTTAAATTTTACCTGACCCTTATTGAAAACAGAAGTCTTATTCCAAATAGTTTCTTATATTGGGCAGGTGTCTCTCTTATGTTGGGGTCCATCCCAGGGGCAGCTCATAAGAGCAAATGCCATAAAAGGTTCTACACAGGTACAGGAAGTGCTTCTGGGTGGTTGGTTCTGGTTCAAGCTTATTGTGGATAAATATACAAAGCAATTCTACTGACTTCTGTTGTGATTGGTTTCCAAGGACACAGAACATAATTGAAGTGTAATCAACTTGAACATGAGAAAATTTCCTAGTAACAGCAGAAACATCATATCAGAAAGTTTCCTTATAATATTAGTAACAGCACAAAATGGCAGGCTAGCCAGGTAACAAACAGTTACCTAGGCCTTAACATTGAGTCTAGGCCTTAGTATTTTACCTAGACCTTAACAGTAATGAAGATAAAGATGGTCAACAGAAGAAATGGTTGAAATAATAATGGCCAAGAATTTTATAAAACTTAACGTCAGACACCAAATCTGAAGTTCACAAAGTATAACACCCGTCTAAATTAATTTTTTAAAGTTTAGCTGATACTTTGTCTAGTTAGCAAAAAATGTACCACTTCACTGCTTGCCTTCGAACTTTTGAACCTATTTTTCATTTAAAAAGCCTGACCCATGCCAGGTGTAGGTGGCGCATGCCTTTAATCCCAGCACTTGGGAGGCAGAGGCAGTCGGATTTCTGAGTTCAAGGCCAGCCTGGTCTACAGAGTAAGTTCCAGGACAGCCAGGGCTGCACAGAGAAACCCTGTCTCGAAAAACCAAAACAAACAAACAAAACAAACAAACAAAAAAGCCTGACCCAAGAACAGTGAGGTGTGACAATTGTCTGCTATTATGGTGCACATTCAATAAGCTATTCTTGTTTAACTCAGATTGGTCTAAGTATGGTTTGTGTGGCAATTTCCAGACCCCAACATTCATGATTTAGATAAAATGTAATTGTCACTAGTTGTAATAAAGTAACTCTTCTTCAAATAATACACACGTAATAAGTTTTATTTAAAAATATTTACTTTATTATTGAGAAAGGGTCTTACTATGTAACCCTTGGCTGGTTTGTAATTTCTTATACAGACCAGGATGATGTTGAATCCAGAGATCTGACTGTGTTTGCCTCCCAAGTGCTGGAATTAAAATCAAGGGGCTTTTACTTTTATAACTGTGTGTAGGCAAGTACATGAGAATGCAGTGTCCAGGGAGGCCTATACAAAATGTCAAGTTCCCTGGAACCAGAAACAGGGGATTATGGTGTTGCAGGATATTTGACCACACTGTGAATCCCAAAATTGTGAACTGGAAACCTTGTTGTGGTGTGGCTCAGCCCTAGCACACACCTTTAACCTAAGAACTTTCTGTAAACAAGAGCTAAATAAAGTCAAGGATTGGTCAAGAAGCGGAGCAACCAACCAGTTGAGAGGGAGCAAAAATAAGGAAGTAAATAGGAAGGTCTGTGAGTTGAAGCGTGTTTTAAGAATGCATGGAGAAGGAGCTTCCTCCTGGGATGTCCGTGGAGTAGGAAGGTCAGCTCAGTCCATTCTCTGCCTCTCTAAGCTAGGAGTCTCTCAACATAGCATCTGGCTCCTGAGTCTTAATTGGTAAAACGAATGGTTGGGATTTTTGTTTTAAAAATATGGGGCTGAAAAGATGGCTCAGCAGTTAAGAGCACTCATTGTTCTTCCACAGGTCCTGAGTTCAATTCCCGGCAACCACATAGGGGCTCACAACTATCTGTAATGCCTTCTTCTTAGAGAAAACTAATTTCTATTCTAAAAATAACTATGCCAAATCAGAGAATTAAAGCCAGAATAAAATAAATGACAACACTGTAAGCCACTACTTATGAACTAGATATTCTATTATTTAATCTCTTTATACCTCAGAGGAACATTACTTCATGATACAAGGGAGGGGCAGATAGAGCGAGCCTACTTTAAATAAGATGAGCAAAAACAGACTTTCATACATAACCAAGTCTGTGGACAAATAGGTTTTCAATAGCAAGCGGTTTTGGAAAAACTGTATCTAAATAGACAAAGTTAGTCTACACCTTGCACCATTTATGAAAGTCATCTCAATGAGGATAGTAGAGTTAAAGAGAAATTTAAAATTATAAAATACATTTTAAAAATTAGAGATTTTCTTTTAAGATTTTATCTGATGCCCACCAGAAGAGGGCATCAGATCCCATTACAGATGGTTGTGAGCCACCATGTGATTGCTGGGAATTGAACTCAGGACCTCAGGAAGAGCAGTCAGTGCCCTAAACCACTGAACCATCATCTCTCCAGCCATAGAGATACTCTTGATCTTGAATTGAAGACTTTTGATTCATTCTTTGTCTTTATTTCATTTATAGTTTTTTGAGACAAGATCTCTCAATGCAGCCTTGGCTGTCCTGGAGCTATGTAGACCAGGCTGGCCTTGAGCTCAAGAGATCTACCTACCCCTGCCTTTTGAGTGCTGTGATTAAAGGTGTTTGCCACAACACCCTGTTATACTTATTGTTTGAATTAGATTCTTGCTCTATTTAGGCTTGTGCCACCAAAACACATTTGATTTTTTTTAAACATAAATAACATCCTCTTAGTATTTGATATATGTACTTCATCTTCACAGTAGTTTAACTTACTCCACAAAGAACAATGTGGAACAATTTCTACCTTAAAATTCCTCTGGAAAAGGTTGAGGCTGAAAGCTTGCTCTAGCTGTCTGTTTAAACAAGCCTTCCTGGAGGCTTACAGAATTACTTTGGTATCTAGGGTTAGTTTTATTTAAAATAATATATTAAAACTTTAAGACAATAGTTTGATTATTTTACATTGCTTTTATGGAAATTCAGGATTTCACAGTTACAGTACATTGGAGAGTACCAAAATTTCAATTGAATTTAATTAAGAGGCTTCGACTAATTCCTTTGGCCTGAAAAACAAAACAAAACAAAACAAAAACCAAAACAACAAAAAAACCAAGATAAGGAACTACCCAGACAGACCTTTTTCTTCTCTGAACTTGTGCCAGTGCTGGCCCATCCGCTCACTCTTTCTCTTCAGGGCAAGTCAGGATTCAGAACCTGCACTTCTGGGATGCCACAGATGTCTTATGTCCCAGAGCAGACCCACACTAGGGTTTTACAGAGGTCAGAGTCCTCAAGAGCAGGAATGTTCTCCAGACAGAGTTCTCTCCAGCCATCTTCCCAAGCCCATGTTTCCCAGCTGTGTTCAATCATAGTCTTCGTTGCCACACCCTTGAGGGTCTGGAGAGATGGCTCGGGAGCTAAGGGTATTCTTTATTTTTACAGAGGACATGAGTTTCATTCCAGCATCCATGTCTAGTTCTAGCTGATCTGAAGCCTCTGGCCTCCTCACTCATAAACACATATGTACACGATTAGAAAATAAAATCTTAAAACAACTTGCCCCCACAAAAACCCCTCAGGGTTTGCGTGAAGTGTACAGATAGATTCTTTTCTAAACGGGTGTACACTCAAGTCTTCCTTGGTACTCTGGTCCAAGACTGTTATTCTAGGGTTCCCTCAAGAATAGAAAGTTCTTCTTCACAGAGTTATCAACTAGAAATGTTTAATAGCCCGGGCAGTGGTGGCACATGCCTTTAATCCCAGCACTTGGGAGGCAGAGGCAGGCAGATTTCTGAGTTCGAGGCCGGCCTGGTCTACAGAGTGAGTTGCAGGACAGCCAGGGCTGCACAGAGAAACCCTGTCTCAAAAACCAAAAAAAAAAAAAAAAAAAAAGTTTAACAGGAGCCAATCAATGTATAACTGAAAATTTCCTAGTAGCCTACCGTTAAAAAAGTACAATGAAAACTGGGTGTGGTGGCTCATGCCTGTAACCCCAGCAGTTGGAAGGCTAAGGCAGGAGGCTACCACCACAGTTTTGATAGCTAGTCTGGGCTACAGGATTAATTTTAGGGTAGCCTGGGCTATAGAGTGATACTCCATCCCAAAATGAAACAATTGAAATGAGAAGTTTTATTTAAAATAATATATCCAAAATATAATCATTGTAAGACAATAGTTAGATTATTTCACACTGCTTTTATGGAAATTCAGCATGTATTTTACAGTTACAGTACATCAGAGAGTACCAAAAGACACTAGTAGCCCTGTCTCCCCCTGACATTCATTTCCATCTTCACATCTATAACTTTTTTCACAGTTGAATATGAAAGCTTGCAGCACCTCTCCAGGAAACTAGAGCAGCTCACTCATTTGCAATTTGAATTTGAGGCTGAGGCAAGCTTAAAGTCAGCCTGAACTTGATAGCAAGCTCAGGGCTAGCCCTGCAAAGTGGTAAGACTCTGTCAGCAAAACAAAACAAACAAAAAACCCCATTAGTAACAAAATACAAAACACAACCAAAATAGGGTTGTCAAGCATGGTGCTAGAATGTCTCTGCTTGATATAAAAAAGTCCCTGTATGAAATCCCTGGCTCTACAAAAGAAGTAAGAAGGGCTAGGGAAGGACAGAATAAATCACTGTGAAAGAGGCTAACTGCATTTCTTCCTCCTCCTAGATAATAGCTGATACCGGTTGGCTGAGGTCTTCCCCTTATCTTATTTTATCTCTCTTTCAAGCACATTTTCCATTTTTTATTACCACTCTTAAAATGTTAGGATGAAGGCTGAGGTTATGGTGGCATTTCTTGTGAAAACCAAAGCTACAATCTCTTCTTTAAACCATCAAAAGAATAGTGGTCAGTCCATTTTTATTATTATTTTCTAAGTATACATATATAATCCCTTGCCCATAATTTTTTTTTTTATATACCTTGACAGGTAACACAAGAATGCAAAGTTAGAGGTAGTTTTGTTTATAAAGATAGACGAAAACCAAACCTAGAGTCAGTAAAAATAAAGTAGTGAATGTAACACATTTTACTTCAGGAATTAGTGGTGAACTTAACAACGGAGACAAGTCAGTGTAGCTGACCCGGGAGCAGAATAAAAAGGATACACAATTATCTCAATAACTATAGGAAAAAAATCTATTGAACTCAATGTTTAGTAAAATACTCCCATCTAATTTATAGAGAATTTTTTAGATTTGACCACAGACATCAGTAAAGAAAAAAAAAAGTCATCACATATTATGCTTAACCAGGTGTTGTGAGATAGACCTATAATCAGTATTTGGGAGGTGAGGTAGAAGGACTGAGTCTGTGGCCAGCTTGGGCTATTTATGGAGAACATATCTTAAACAACATTAAAACAAAATCTGCAGCCAGGTATGGCGATGTTCATTTGTAATTAGGACTCTGGATCAGTTCTCAGTTACTTTTTCAATCAAGGCCAGCCTGCTTCAAAACAAAACAAAGCTGGGCGTGGTTTCACATGCCTTAATCCCAGCACTCAGACAGGGAGGCCAAGAGGATCTCTCTCGGAATTCAAGGCCATCTGATCCACAGAGTTCCAGAAACCCTATTGGGGGTGGGGGGCAGGAGTGGAGACAAAAAACAAATAACTCCCCCCAAAAAATACAACCCAAAAGCAAAATACAGAAAACCCAAAATCCAAAATCCGTTCCCATGAGACGGGTCAAGGGTGCTCACTATCAGCAATGGGCGGTGTCCTACTAGGACACAGAACAGAGGCTCAGAGAGGAAATTCATCTTTGAAGGAATCTGCTTACTTATGGGAAGCGGTAGCAGACCTCAGGAAGTTGGACGCCGCAGGGTCATCGGGACTACACAGCTGCAGGGATTAAAATATGGATAAAGGGCAGTAGGAAAGTAATACTTCGAGAAAGTGTAGATGGGCAAGCCATGGTTTGTGACATTATAAAAGGAGACCGTGCCAGCCTCATAGTCTAAGAAAACCCCTATGCGTCGAGGTGGCACCGTCATGGAGAGGAGCAGGGATGGGGAGGAGTCCTCATAGGCTCTGTACTCGTGCTTACGCTGCAACCCAATCACCCAGTATCCGCTCTGTGGCTGATACCTGGAGTAGGCACCCTGCTTGCTGGAGTACTGGTTATAAGAGAACATGGGTTCCACCGGGGTACTGCATACACCCAAGATCCATGCCGTCTTCTTGGTCACGTCCACTTCCCAGTAGTATTTTCCTGAGGAGAAGTGCTGAGAGCCCAGGACACTACAGTCATAATGTTCTTCCAGACTGGACTGCTCGGACAGCTTGGCACCTACAAACCTCACCTGTCTCCGGTTTTTCGCCAGGACAAGATTTAAATTAGCTGTCTGTGGATTCAGAGTCACGTCCACTGTAGGAGAAGGTACAACAGTAGCAGATAAGAATGGGCACATGGGTCCCATGACTCTTGGAGGAGGGGGACACAGGAAATGGTGGTGGGGGACTGAGAGCATTAGGTAGCAGGGGAAGGAGAGCTGTAGACACCTAAGACCTAAGACATGCACGTTTGGCCGGGTGGTGGTGGCGCTCGCCTTTTATCCCAGCACTTGGGAGACAGAGGCAGGCGGATTTCTGAGTTCAAGGCCAGCCTGGTCTACAGAGTGAGTTCCAGGACAGCCAGGGCTACATAGAGAAACCCTGTCTCGAAAAACAAACAAACAAAAAAACCCAAAAAAACAAAAACAAAACAAAACAAAAAAGATATGCATGTTTGTTGAGGGGAAGCACGTGAAAGGGGCTGGGGTATCAATTCAGAGAGGCCATGGATTGTACTCACCCCAGTAGCTTTGGACATCTGTCAGCTCTGTAAGAAAAGGAAAACACTGTAAAAGATCACCCTTGATACAGGGACTGCATAATCATCCTCAGCACACCAGTCCCTCCGTGACTTCATTCATAACTACTATTCTATACATTACTACAGCTCTACAGGGATTCCACGTCCATTTCCCCAAACTTACCTCTAAAGACTCGCAGCATCTTCTTCAGATCTGGGGCTCGAAACAAACTTTTCAGCTTGGTGGGGAGAGCTTGGGGCTTCCTCAGGGTCCAGAACTCACTCCTAGTGAGGACAGACCTTATGAGAGCTTCAGGGTCTCCTCAACCCTCAGATCCATTGATAAACTTCAACATTCTTTCCTTAGGAAAGGCAGCATCTGCAAAGAGCCCTGCCCTGGACCAGAAGACCTGGACTAGAAACTAGCTGCTCACTGTCTCCATACATGTCAGTAAACGTTAATTTATTACAGCCTCGTTTAGTTTCTTTTCCATTGTAACTTCTATAACATACAGTGGCTTTTCCTTTTCTAACTGTGTCCTAAGGACAGGAGGCAACTGAGAACAATGGCTGTGGAGTGCTTTGCTACATGTAGAAAGAAAACAAAATGTGTGAAAATGTCAGTGCTGCATCCAAACGTCCACCAGGAGGTGCTGGAGATGCCCAGTGATCAGGAACCCTGCAGTCACACTAAAATACCTATAGAAGGGCTTGCTTCTATAGGTCCATTATCTAAGAGGCCTGAAGGGCCTGTGGGCAACTTAAGATGTCACCTCCGCGGATGACTTTGTAGATTTGATTACTGAAGAGACCTTGTTCTATCTCAAGGCAAAAGCCATTCATTCTTCTCGTGACTCAGGTCTGTGGGGTTTTTTTGTTTGTTTGTTTTTGTTTTTTTTGAGACAGGGTTTTTCTGTATAGCTCTGGCTGTCCTGGAACTCACTCTGTAGACCAGGCTGGCCTCGAACTCAGAAATCCGCCTGCTTCTGCCTCCTAAGTGCTGGGATTAAAGGTGTGTGCCACCACTGCCTGGCAGTTCTGTGGTTTGTTTGTTTGTTTGTTTTTTTACTGGAACTGACATATAAGGAAATCTGAGCATGGGGCAAGATCGGAGAGCCAGGGGAGGAAGGGAAAGTTCTCAGTCAGCATCTGGAAAGCCAGTTCTCAAGCCTTGGCAATACATGGATGGTGATTTCCCTCTAAGACATACAGCCAAGAACAGGAAAACCAGTGTCAAAGGCAGGTAAAGAGGCTTGTGAAAAAGAATCACGTCTTCTGTTAACCTTCTCTTACCATACCAATTTTACTACCATGGATGCTAGCCTGCTCCCTTATTTTTGAGATCCCTAAATTCACATACAACTCAACATACCAGTCTCAAACCTCCCTGGCCTATGACTTTTCCCCTTCCCCACAGGATTATTCTACAGGGGCCAAGAACTTTTGGAAAGCCCAAGGGAATCAACTAATATTCTTACATACCTTTTTGTGACATCACCCACATCCTAGGAAGGAAAAAAGACAGATTAAGGATCATGCCTTCTTCCACCTTTACCAACCCATGTAGTGACCAGGAACAAACAAACAAAGGCCCAGGAGCTACACAAAGTAGAGATGAGAGCTTGGAGCCAGCCAGATTCGGCCTGCATGGTGCATGCCTGTGATACTAGCACTTGGGACGTTAAGGCAAAGCAGACTGTAAGTTTGAGGCCTACCTGGGTTATACAGCAAGAATTCATCTCAAAAGAACTAAACACAAACCCCCAAACAACTCCATCTCAGAGCAAAGTTCCTAATGACCCATGTACAAATTTGGGTAAGTTTCTTTATTTTTATAACTGTGGGTTGTTTGGTGGTTTTTTATTGGGGGGGGAGGTTGGCTGGCAATATTTAGGATTGAAACCAAGGCTTTATGTAGACAAATGCCCCACCACTGAGCTATCGCCTATCCCTGTGTTTGAAATGTGAATGTGTATGTATGTTTGTAATCTAGCATGCAGCTCCTGGCCCTGCAGTTATGATAGACTAACTTCTACCCTTGAGACAGATACAGGTTTTATTTTTTTTTTTTTTGAGACAAGGTTTTTCTGTGTAGCCCAAGCTGTCCTAGAACTCGCTCAGTAGACTTCATGGCTGGCCTCAAATTCATGAGATTCAACCTGCCTCTACCTCAAGTGTGCTGGACTTTAAGGCATATGCCACCACCTGGCTTTGAGACAGTCACAGATTTTAAACATAGTTCTTTCTCAAACGTCATCCCTTCGATGGTGTATATGCACAAAAGCAGACAGATCAATTGCTACAGCACACTAGGGGACTGTACTAAAGAGAGTAAAGGCGGGAAAAGGCTGGTAAGTGCCGAATCTAACTTGATTTTGACATGTGTTTTCCCTGATAAAACTGAAAATTCCCATCACAGCAACAACAGCAGAGACATAAGCTGCCTGGTGAACACAAGTTTTCAGCTGGGGTTGGCACTGGGGACATAGGGCAATGTTAAAGGGCTTTGGAATGCATTATCTAGGGCAGTACCATGTAGTGGGAAGGGAGCCAGGAATTGGGGAAAGTCCCTACAAGATACAGAGGAGTCCCTCACAGCTAAGGTTTATCTGTATCAGAACATAAAGGCTCCTGCAGAACAATGCTGAACAGACAGACCTCCACAATTCCAGATAAACTGGGCTACTCTTGTCTGGGAAGGAATAACAATGGGGCTTCCCCTATCATTTGCATCTGAACTGTTTGACCTTTGGCCTCCTCACAGCTCAATACCTGCAGCAGTTCCACTGTGGACCCCTGGCACCGGTGCTCCAGGTCAGAGATGAGGTCTCTCAGTGATTGGCTCTGGTGGATCAGGTCACCCTCCGCCTTTTCTATGATGCTCAGCCCCTTCCTCTCTTCCACTTCCAGCTTCTTCAGTTCCCGTTGCTCCTCCCTGTCTAGGATGCTTCGGAGCTGGTTAAACTCTGCCTGGATCCGGTGTCTCTCAGGCTCCACCTGACTCTTCAGTACCAGAGAAAAACAGGCTGTTGGTTGGTGGACCAAAGGTTCTCCCCTGGGGGGAGGGGGGAGGGTTGGGGCGGCGGCAGGAAACAGCTGCAGACTGCTTTCCTGGGCCTGCCGGTCTGAGTGGAGGGACACAAGCCTGTAGGACCTGTTCTCAGGGCCTAAGCCTTAGGCTGTCTATCTAAAGTTCACAGATAGGTTAGTCTTTGGGTGAGTTTAGACTCCAGGAAGCTCATCTACACTCTTAGGCATCTAAATCGGCGTCTGCTTCTAATTTTGAGCCCTGAGAGGAATAGCTGGCTCACAAGTAACATATCATTTCCAGGAGGTCAAGGTGGAAATAGAGTAAGATTCAGAATTACAAATTATGGGTCACATCAGACTGATTGGCTTTTCTTCCTTCCTTCCTTTCTTTTTTTTTTTTTTGAGAAAGGGTTTCTCTGTGTAACTCTGGCTGGCTTGGAACTCACTTCGTGGGTAAGGATGACCTTGAACGTATAGAGATCCACCTTTCCTTGCCTTCCAAGTGTTAGAATTAAAGATGTGTATCCCTAAGTCTGGGAAGCCATCCTTTCTTCTGCCTTAAAAATCTGGAGGACCAAATACTCAAGGGAGCAAATATGGAGACAAAGTGAGGGACAGAAACTGAAGGAGGGGCCATCTGAAGACCTTTCCACCTGAGTATCCATCCCATGTGCAGTCACCAAAGGTAGATGCTGATGTGGAAGTCAGGAAGTGCATGCTGATAAGAGCCTGATATGGATGTCTCCTCAGAGACCTTCAAGAGTCTAACATATTCAGAGGCAGATGCTCACAACTAGCCATTGAACTGATAATGGGGTTCTCAATGGAGGAGTTAGAGTGAAGACTGAAGGAGCTGAAAGGGTTTGCGGCACCATGAGGAGAGCAACAATACCAACCAACCACAGCTCCCAGGGTCTAAACCACCAGCCTGGGAGCACTTAGGGAGGGATCCAGGGCTTCAGCTGTATACGTAAGGGTGAGCGGAGGGCCCTGCTGGGCATAGGTGGAAGATGAGATCCTTGACCTCATGAAGGCTGGACGCCTCAGAGGGTGGGAATTTTGAGGGTGGGGAGGTGGGAGTTGGGGGGGTAGGTAGGGGTTACATCCGAAGAGAAGAAGGAGGAGGAGTGAGGGGATAGGGGGTTCCTGGGTGGGTGGGGGATGGGGTAAGGGGACAACATATGAAATGTAAATAAAACATCCAATTAAAAAAAAATCAGGATAGCACATCTACCCATTAATTAACACAATCACCACCTACTGAATGTGCAGTGGATGCATTATAAGTATTGAACTTCTTCTCTTACCAAAAATTATATAATCCCTTTTAATTTGTGTATGTGTTTCAGCCTAAGTGTTCAGTAGCATATTTGTGGAGTGAGAAGATCATCTGTCAGAACTGGCTGCCTCCTTCAGCCAAGATGGTCTGAGTAAATGAGCTTAGTTCATCAATCTTAAAGGAACGGGCATTTTCCCCCAGAGCTTTATAAAATTTATTTTCCTACATTGACCTGCAATATAGGTGCTGTATCTATACCAAAACTGAAAAGCAAAAAAGAAAAATGAAAGAAAAGAAAAACAAATCCAAGCAAACACAGGCTTGAGAGGATCTTACTCAGGGCTGCACTGCTATGTGGAGAGGCAGGATTAGAACCTGGATACTCTAAACACATGGTCTTAATGGATATCATTTGAGAGGTGTCCTTCTTAACTCTTTTATTAAACACAAGCATTGTGGTGGACGCCCCAGGGGGTGGGAATTTTGAAGGTGGGGAAGTGGGAGTGCGG